CTCTGATGATGAATCCGCGACGGATTTCGAAACGTCAGGTGAATAAACATATCATCCCAGCAATCGAGTCGTCTTCTTCTTCGCAATATCGGGTTCCCCTGCCTACTAGGAGTGCCCTGAACCATTATGCGGCACCCAAACTGAGACAAGATGAAATACTTCTCTTGTCCAGTCTGCAAGTAAAATATAGTCGACTGGCGCGGTATGATAAAACGCTCACTCTACGGAACACCAATGGGCTAATTTTGTGCCTCCTCACTGGTCATGTTGTAGCCGGTTGATGGGTAGTATAGGCGTCTCTGGACTCATACCTACGAGGTAGAAATTGTTTTAGCTTCAAACAAGGTTAATTTGCAAAGTCCTTCACTTTAGATTGCAAAAATTCCCATCGGAGGATTCAGAAGGACAGTTGGCCAGCATACGGAAGCCTTCGATAAATTTTCACCGGGCCAGTACTTTTGTATGGCAATCAGGCCAAACGTAAAACACGTTCTTCTTTTCATGCAAGTGAATCACGGTAGGAGTGTTTTTGGAAAGAGAACCTGGTTCGGACAATATATGAACTTTAGTCGTTTCATACCCATCCAACAGAAACGCAATCTAGCCCACTGCTTAGAGCAAAGGCTTGAGATGAATCTTAAGAAAATCCAGAACCTGTTTCGTGAGAACGGGCATTCTGAGAGATTCATCGCAAAAATATGGTAACGAGACAAATAAAACCCACGGCATCAACTATGAAATGAGGCGGTATTCCTCAAAGTCCCCTTTCAAGGAGATGGAGCATTTTGACTCCTACGAAGATGCCTTGACAAAGCCGCGTCACGAACCTTATAAGTGGCGAGAGTTAGGGTATTATTCCCAATAAATCTGGTCATGCATGGGTAAGGTAAGGAAGGGTTGCCAGCTCAGAGCACCTATCTATGCATCTAATTATTTACTTGCTCCTGTGGAGCAGGTTATATCGGTCGCACGAATCGCCGCTTGTCCAAAGAATAAGAGAACACGCCCCAGTATGACTGAGAAAAGGTGAAGTCAGGAGCATAAACAACGCCATTCTCGCCCCCATTGTTGATTCAGGACATGGTGTGGGCCCCAATGAAGCCTTCCTGGTGATT